AGTATTTACTATTGAATTGTTAAAAGCTTAAATTATTCCAAATCTATACAATTCGAATTATATAATGTATACAATGTTTTTTTTTTAATATTATAGAATAGAGATATCAGTAGGACAAATTGTCACGTTTTATTGTTTAAAGTCTTCATTGCAGAATGGCGCAAAAAGTGACGATGGATTGGACATACGCATGCTAATTCATCAAAGCCAGGCCGGTTGTGTAATCGGAAGGGTCGGCTCCAAAATTAAGGAACTCCGCTCGGTAAGTTTTATTCCATATGATTTTTTTCTGTGTAATTTGTAAGGGCGTTAATTATCCGGCAATTCATGCGTAAACTGAACATTTCCGAGACAAATATTACGATTATTGTTGTATCGCTGCCCCAACACAAATAACATTCTGGATGTATGTAATTCACGATTATTCTTATTATAACTGTCTTCGCAAAAACGTCAATTAAGTACGTGATGGCTTTTCGTACATTCCGGTTACATTCATTTTATGTATTTAGTTTTTCCTTTTTCTAATAGAGAAATTTCTCTCTATGATATGTCCCCAATTAAATTGTTCTTAATAGTCGGATTTGTTTTGGATGAACGAAATCGCTGGCTGAATGAGGCATCTCGCAAAGAGTGAAATAAATTCTACATTTCCAGTGTTAATTATTACAGATGACTTTCGGAATTGTGGCCATTTTATAGCGAAAATAAAATCAATTGAATTAAAAATTTCAAGCAATGTTTTTTTTAAAGTTATTTTCGTTTCAATGTTAAATAAAACATACATTCATACATTTTAAAAACAAGTAATAAAGTTTCTTAATAAATGAAAATGCTTTCACGAAATGCCAGTAGTAACTACTCGAGGAATTATTCAAGCCCAGCATCTTCTTTTCATAAAATGTAGATTTATTTTTCGAGATGGGATGTTTTAAAAATTTATTTTGATTGAAGGTTTATAAAGGGCTGTACACAGTTTGGGCTTTTGATAAATCCGTTCATCTGGCAGTGCCTGCGGTACACACGTTCGCCCCACAATGCAGCAGGAAAACTCTTTGTACAAACCAACGACGAGACAGCCTAAGCCTGCTGCACAACTTGCAGCACGGAAATAATTGGAAACACTTGTTGTTGGGGTTCTCTGCATGTACACTGCTATAGCAAACACATCCAAAATACAACTTTTAAGTGCACGTTGCGAGCTCTATCTCATCTCCGTTCATTATATACATGCATCTATTTCTTTGAGAACTACAGAACATTTAGTAAATCTCTGAGATCATTGAATTGCATTTTCTCGACGAATTAATTTCAGCACATTTCGTTCAATTATATTGTGCTGTAAATTATGTAGTCCTTAGGACCTTTGTCAGCGTCGTCGTTAAATCCATGATATTTTATCCCCCTTGAAACGAAACCGAAGCTGCTTCATTTTTCCCCTCTCGGTCAAATGATTTTTCGTGCAGATATAGATTTCTTTTCCCTATTCCATACTACGTTCTCCGCCTTTTATTACTTTCTGTCGATCGTTGTAGATAAAACTGTATATTATAAAATACGATGAACGGTCGCTGTAGCTCTACTATTTTTACATAAAATATAAAAATTTTAATAATTTCTATTCATTTCTCAAAAATTTATTCAGTTATGTGCTCGTAATATTAAATAAAAATGTGCGTGCTAGTTATAGTATTAATTTATTGTTTATAAATGTGGTGGCTGGTGACAGTATAAACAAAAAGGTTAAATAATTATTGTCGTTAATAAGAAATAAGAATATGATGTTAATGTCGGTACCTACCAACTACATGTACTTAAAGTGTCACCAATCAAATCGATGGGAACAGTTGCATAGAAATAGATTAATTACAATTGCGGTCTCGTTGTACATTGGCGGTTACAGGTATTGTAAACAGTGTATTCACTTTGTTGTATTACCAGTACCGCCTTCCGTTCAAATATTAATTGTTCCCTTTCCTGCAAAGGGTGTATTATATGCATTTGCCGCACAAATCGAAATAATCTTTCAAATATTCAAACGCACTCTTCCATTGGCTCATTTATTATGGAAGGGTTGTGCGACCGACCATTGGTGGTGGTTTTCTCTTCGCTTGTTTCGTGTTTTTCGATGCGTGCTACTATACTACTACACCGTGTAATATATGTATATAAATATATATATATATATCCCACAAGTTGGTGTCGGGGACAGGTGAAGCGGTTGCTTGCCAGGCCTAAAGGGGCGGCAGGTGAGAGGGGTGACGCACGCGCCCCCTATCGCGTGTGGAGTCAGACAGGCGCGCCGACCCTAAATCGATATGAGCTGCAGGCTACTCCTTGTATACCGGCTGCCGACGCCACCACTACCGCCGCCGCTCTGCACGGACGAACCGCCCCCAATCCCTCCTCCACTTACACACATCATACATAAAGCTCGACCGTTCTTCTAGTAAGTCTTCAGTCGACGTCCTTTGTTCCCAGGATTTGCAGCTTCCTCAATACCTTCACTTCTTCCTTTCCAGCAATCAGTTTTCAAGTGCTCCTTCACATTTTTTTCCCATAATAAACACTAACCAACCTGTGAGATAGTGAATTAGTGTGTCAAATTACTACAATCAAGAGGCTGTAATTATTAAAAATTAAAGTCTTGCAATACATTTTTCAACGTACTCGAACAATTGAATCATCGCGCATGTAAGTTTTTATAAAAATATTTACAATTTTCGGTTTTTATCAACTTTTTAATATTACTTTTAATTAACGACGAATATTTCACCGGTTGCAGAAATTCATTCAAAACTTTCAAACGTTATAAAATTTGAATTCTATTCAACTCTATTCTCATAGACATATTCCAATATAAATTTTGGGAAGTAACAAAAAAGATCAAGATATGTATATTTGATACTATTACACTAGTAGGAGAATTGTGAGTAAATTACTATAAAATATTAAGCTAAACTACAAATGACGGTTCCTACCTTCAAATAAAATATTAATAGCCTGAAATTATTACTTGATTATTGATTTAGCTTCAACAATGACAAATTGATTGCTGCCTTTTTATTTAAATATTATTTATCATATTTGAACATGAAATTACTAATTTATTTATGCACATAACATTGTTTGGTGTTTTCAGTCAATTCATTGCTTTGTTTCAATTGTATCAATTAATTTTAAAACATGCATTATTAATTAAATTTAGTTGTATTTGCAAATTGAATATACATTAAGGGATTCACTTTGTATTTGTCATAATTATGATAAAAAAATAATTGCTATAGATTGTTGTTGCTTACGAAAAATATGTGTCTTAATCACAATAGAAAAATCTCTGTTTTAACAGAACATTGTTATTGCGGAAATATAATGATATGATAGAAATGCATCTATAATATTAATAATATGGATTATAGTTAAAGCGGATTGAATAATGTTGGTATATACAAACAAATTATATATTCTTATGCGTTCGTGTCGGGCTCCTCCTTTTTTTTATTGTCTGTTTGTATTGTCGTCCCCACTGTGTGTATAAATGTCGTGCGATAGAAAACAAATGAATATGAGTAATGACATATTAGTGTTGACGATGTTTTCCAACGGAAAATCACTATCCGTAATTGAATCGTGTAGTCGCTATTTTTATATAACAAATATATATATGTAATATGAAATGTAAATTGCAAAAAATCGATAATTTGCCGAGCGTCGCCAGTTTTTTTTAATCTTGCCGCTCGAAAAATAAATATTTTTAAAATAGCATTAGTTAGCACGTAGTAATTGGATATAATAAACTGCTGTAGTTGTAGCCAGTTTGAATTAAAGGAGGGTAGGAAACTTCTGCAATTCATTTAAGTGATCAACGTCGCAGATTCCGTTATAAATAGTTATGCGAGTTATATAATCTTACTGGTTCGTACGTACGTAAATAATGCGTACTTTATCCTTTGTCCATCCATCTAAGTAAATTAGTTTGGGTCCCCTCAGGCACATAATACACGCGCTAATCCACTGAGACGTTCGTTCCTCTTGCTGTGTTCCCGAGGTAGGAGCGCACGTGCAAGTTGCGCTCTTTCTGATACCCCCCGAGATTCTAGGGCAGGAAATATTTTCGATAATTTCCATTTAGTTTTGTAACCTCCCCTTACGAACGTATTCTTTGCGATATGCTCGTCATAATAATATTTGTCTTCACCTTTTTACAGTCGACTGGAGCACGCATTAAGATCTTCACGAATTGCGCGCCGCAGAGCACGGATCGCATCATACAGATTAACGGACAGGACTTCCAATGTATTAATGCCATATCGGAAATCATCAAGCTTATTAAGACGGTAAGTGCGCTGAGTGCTTTCAGTCCGCTTTGGCCTAGACGCTTTTAATGACTTCCCGTTCATTCCATTCGGACTGCACTCTCCATTCTCCACTAGACACCTTAATATTTGCAGAAAGATAAGACAAACAAAGGATATAATCTCCACTCATTCTGAACTTTTTTCACTCGATTGATCAAATCAAACTTTGCTTTATCGATTTCAAATGAATAAGACTAATTCAGATCCTATGTTGTTTCAAATAATTCAAACACATAACAATAGTTAAATTTCAATAAAAAAAAATCGGGACTTGATTAGGTTTAATCACTAGATTTCACCAAACCAAAAATACTTCAATTATCTTCAATTTATTATTTCTATGAATTATTTTTTTGACATGCACAATTGTTGCGATTTCTATAATTGAATATTAATTAATATTTATCATTATTCATCATATTTGTGTATTTGTAGTAATTTATTATAAATAAATGTACATTCAGCTACAATTCAATTATATTCTCATTAATATCAATTCATTATATTAGTCAATGGATTCAATTAAAATTAAAACTAATATATAATTATTATAATATATATTTTAGACGCCAATTAAGGGTCCGTACAGTTGCTACAATCCTCATAACTATGATGATTATTATGCGGATGAGTATGGTGGATATGGCAATGGTGGCGATATGCGACGCGGAGGATCAGGAGCGACCGGACCTCGCAGTGTCCACAGCGGAGGAAGAGCTAGTGGTGAGCGCTTCAGCAGTCGCGGACCACCGCCGCCCTCGAGATCCGTTGGACCCTTAGGGTAAATACGAACTAACTATATTATATCGACTAAACAACTAAGTATATATCCATTGCATGTCTAGGTATGACAGAAGCATGTCCGGACCGCCGCCATCTAGAAGCAGTGGTTATTCCAATGAACCTCCAAGAGGACTGAACGGAAGTGGCAGTTACGAGAGACCCAGCGGCTGGGGAAGTCCTCCGCCGATGAACGGAGGAAGCGCGAGCAGCATGAGCGCTTCGATGCCACCTAGCATGATGAGCAGCAACGTGGGAAGCGCAATGCAAAACAACGGTAGTTCAAGCCAAGGCACCAAATCGACAACGCAAGTAACAATTCCCAAAGACGTGAGTATTAGCCTTCCAAAAGTGAATGACTAAACCATATATAAACATTTGTTTTTCTTTGTCCTTCAGTTGGCGGGCGCAATCATTGGGAAAGGGGGCAGTCGCATCCGTAAGATTCGGCAAGAATCCGGAGCCGGAATCACAATTGACGAGCCTCTGCCCGGCTCCAACGATCGCATTATAACGATAACAGGTGTTCCCAATCAAATACAGATGGCGCAATACCTACTCCAGCAAAGGTGAAAAACATGTCATTTATTTTACTTCTTTGCCTCTTGCCTTTGTCTCTCATGTACTCTCTTACTTAACATATTTTTAGGTGTACTTATGAATGTTGGGGTGTTTGCGGACTTCTCTACTAACTCTGCGGCGGGATTGTGTGGAAGACTAGTGATTTTGTTGTTCTGTATTTGCTAACAAAAAATCACTAATCATCCCACGAGACCGTCCGAAAAGCTTCTGGACTTTGCTTTAATAAACCTACATGTGCGCTATTTATCATTAACTAATTAACACAATTATATTTATACTCTCAGTATAAACATTTAATTAATATTCTCTGGTATTTCTGTTACAGTGTCCATAACAACGCCGACCAACGCAATGGGGGGCAGTACTAAGAAAAATGAAAACAATCCAAAAAACGATGTCTTTTTGTTGAAAAGAGCTATAAAAAAAAGAAAAGAATTATATAAACCCCATATTTTTTAAAGAAGCATATATAATTTTTGTATTCGAATTTATGATAGTTAAATAGATATACATTTTTTTATCTATAAACCGAATATATTGGGACGCTATTTTACACTGGACACTCAAACACAAATTCCGTCATTTTAAATGTCTGTTACGTTTTTATTTTTAATATTATTTTTATTTTTTGGTAAACTATGGTGAAGTAAGTGTCTTGACCTAAATACATACATTTTTTTTATTTTTGCAAGCAACATTCCATAATTTATTTTCTTTAATATTTTGTTGTTTATATTTTCTTTCCGGCTTATTTCGATCGACAATAAACTTGGGGATAATTATTTTTTTTTGGAAATAATTGTAATAAATTTTCATATTTCTTGTTTTGTCTATTATTATTTTTTTAGAAGACTGTCCAAAGCTAATGTAACACGAAGTAATAAAATATATTTTATTATTGAAAGTTTAAAAAAAAAGACAAACTTTAAGGATCTCTTATTGTTTCGCATTGGCGATCGTCCCGCGGATGATTTTCATTTTAATGTAGCAATTATTCGAGTTGAGATTCTATCTTTTCTATCGAATTTTATTCTGAAGTAAGTCTTGTTCAATCCATTTTTTTTTTGTATCGATAATACTAAGATAAGTTTAGCTGCACGTTTCTACCTTCTGGGTTGATCATTACTGTAATTTTGTTTTCTTTCGTTTTGTTGTATAGTACTAACAGTTATGTAATGTATTTTTAATCAGGGAACAAATATATCGAGTACAAAAGAATTTAAATTGCAAAGATTTAATAACATACAAACAAAATAATAATACTTATTTATTATTATTAATGTTTTCTAATTTAGCGCGCATGCATATATGTTGGGGAAAATGAATAAAGAAGAAATGTCGATGGTGGAAAGTAAATTGTTCCATCATTTCTTTTGTTTTATTGTTTCATATTATTATTATTATATAGATTATCAACCAAATATTTTTCTCTAGTTTTAGATACCTCTTTGTTTCTGTTCTATCTTTCTTTCTACTTCCAATATTTTATCTATAAGTGGATTAATTTTAATATAACATATATGTACTGTTTTCTGTTCGACACATCTTTCAAAATAAGTTTGTAAATTTGAAATTAAAATTATACATATATATAAATGCAGTCAACGAGTGAATGAAATGCTATAATAAAAAAAAACTAAAAAAGCACGTTGGTATTTTATTTCCACTTATCCCACATTATCTCAATTACTCTAATTTTTCATTAATTAATATATTAAATGATTTCATAGTCTGTAATAGCATACAGCTATTGTGCCGCGAATATTAAAAGAAAAACATTAATTAAATTGTTTTTCAAATAATTACAAAGCACAATACATTTATCAAAATTAAAAAATCAACATACTTTAAGTATTCCGGAATTTTAACTATAGATTCAAGCGTGCCCTGACACAAAACAACAAGTTTGAATACATCGGTTTAAGTTGTAGTTCATTAAGACGTAGTTCAACTTATTGCACTACTTTTGTTTTAAATATTCTATAGTAACGATTGTTATAAATTCTAACACAGATATTTTATTTAGATTGTATTTTTTTTAATCAAATGCGACAGTAAGTTAAATGGAATAATAGTCTTCATACTTACACAAACACGTTTGACAAATGTGTTTGTGTGTAGAAGATATCTGGAAGCTCTTTTGATCATCAGTTTAATGTTTCAACACAACCAGTAACATAGCAATTGGATTGTGCAGCGGGTGTCAAAGATACTCGCAGAGTGCAAAGAATAAGTTGTTTTTTTTTTTAAATTATCGACTCATGAAAACTTAAATAAAAGCTTTTCCTGGTGTTCTAAATTTCAATCTAGAGACCACTAGTTCAATATAAAAAAGTTCCATTCATATTTAAATCTATAATAGATATAAGACAATATACGAATTTTATATCAGAATAATTATGTAATCATAGATTTAGAACAACTTAGTCACTAAATCGTAATGTTCGATGACCATTTAAAATTAACTTTTTAACAAATACAGTTTTGTGGATTCCTCAGAGTTTATTCCTTTAAATATATACATCCAAATAGCCGATTTTAAATCACTGCCACTTTTCTTATATATGAGCTTACATTAGGAGGAAAACATACGTTTCAATTTAAATATTTCCTGATTTGTCCAATTACTAAAAAGTTTTTCTGTAAAAAATCTAAACAAATGCAGAAAACCCTATTTTCTATTTTAATAACTACTAAAAATCATTATGCCATGATTGTATAAAGCGAGAACAACCTCCAACCATTATGAATTATGTACATTTGATTAGTTAGTTTTTAACAAGAAATTAATTTAAATGGCGTGTAGTCAAACTACTAACTAATCAGATCAATTTGTTCTGAATTCAATACATACTTATGTGTCAATGACTTTGTGTTATTGATATATTTGTAATGTAACTCTAATAAAACATAAAGTTTAATTAATTTGAATATTTATTTAACTTATTATAAAATTATTTTACATATATAACAACCATTGCCATTGTTTTATGAATACAATGTTCACACAAGTTATATCAAAAAATAAATCTATTCTTTTGAAGATAAATATACTTTGTTAAAATCCATAAAAAAATATGTAATTTAAAAAAAATTCCTGTTACTTAAAATGGCTTAAATTCGTCCTTAGGTATGCTTATGATGAAACTCCTCTGGATGTTCGGCAATATAAAGAACATATATCAGAGGGACCGCAAAAATCAATATTACAATGCACAGTGTCAAGGTGATCCATGAAATATCTGAATCACTGCAGGCCAACCAATGTTTCTTCTGAGGGACTGTCTCAGGAATTGTTGGTAACAAGTTGATCTCTGCATCAATGTTAGTTTCTTCCTCAGGATTATCACAATATTTATTTGTTGCTATGTTACTATTAAATATAACTGTGTTCAAATTGCTTTCTAATGGGGTCAACGTGTGGATCAGCTCATTGGAATCAATGGGATTCTCAGGTTTTTGCTTATGTTTTGGTGAAGTGTTGCCACTGCTATGCACTCCAGCTATGAGCATCAACTTAGCTGGAACCTTAATTGAATTCCTAGCAAAGATTTCATTTTCCTTGTGAATGTTATTCAATCTTTTCAGCTCTGCAATCTTAAATAGTTTCTCATTAGCTGTAATCTAACCATATTGCAGTGTTATTGCACTCACTGGACAATGATACCTAATCGATAGAGATTGCAGGGTGTCTCCTTCCTCAATAATCTTCTCAACTGTTGCAACCTCTTGAAACTTCTTCCGAACGAACAGTTCGAGCTCCTCGTCATCACTATCTTTCGACAATTTCGTGTAATCGTAATCATTATTCCTAGTTCTTAAATCAAAATTATTAATAAACTGCTTAATAATTATTACTATAATCATGCAAACTTACTTTTGACGTTTCATTTGTTCATTAAAGGTATTAAACTCCTCATAAAGTAACAAATTAATTTATTGTTAATGACACACACACACAGACCAACAATTGCAGACTCCTTTTTTTTTGTTATTTAAAACGTCATAATTAATTGTAAACATTTGTTGCTCATTTCGTGCTTGTTAAACTTGTTGCCTAACATATGTTTACTTTCTTTCAAATAGTTTTTGAGCTAATATCGGTAACCTTTTTTTAAACTGTTTTACAGTTATATAAAGTTACTCTATTCGATATAGAACATGGGATCAAATACAATGGATACAACTTCATCAGGAGACTACTTTGAAAGTTACGAAGATTTAGACGTGAGTAGAATAACAACAACATTTTAGAAATTTTAGGTTATACGATTTATACATGTGAGTTTTTGTTTTATATCTAATAAACCAAAAAGTATACATTAATACACTTTTAAATACTATTTACAATTTGAATTGATCATTTTTCAACTTATAACGTTATTAATTTTACGACATTAAAGTCATAAAATATAGAATAATGTGTATAGAGTTGCCTACTGTCATACCAATTGTTCATAAAATACGTCAATTAGGGGGCTCAATAAGAAAGGGTACCAGAAATTAATATTTAAAAAAATAGTAAATCTGAATGAATGATACTTAAAAGATATAGAAATGATTATGTCTTGGAAAAGTCTTTGGTTTAGGAGCATTTATATAGAGATGCAGGAACAAAAATTACAAGGATTTGTATTATGAGGACTTAATATTATTAAGAAGCTAATATTTTTTATTATTAATTATAAAAGTTACATTATTTCATAATGTGTGATTTAATTTAAATTTAAAGATTGAATTATCTTGTGATTGACAGTTGAATTATATCATCAAGAAGTTTATACCTATTAATCACACTATACTTTGACAACAACTTTTCCTGTATTGACTCCATTCAAAATACCAATTAGAGCATTCGGCATGTTCTCGAAACCATCCACAACGTGTTCTTTATATATCAGCTTTCCTTCTTCGAGCCACATCTTGTTCTGCTTAATTCCGCTCATCCAACGATCGTAATAATTAGTAGCATGGATACCAGACATCGTTAGTTGATTGGCAACAATTGAGGGTTGTAAAATCGTTGCTAAAAAATAGAACATATTTCAATGTGATTGCATTATCAACTATTATAAATATAACGGGTAATATTATAAAATATACCTTTAGGAAGGGAATTGTAATCATTATTATAAGCTGAAATTGAACCGCAAACTGAAATTCGTCCAAATTTGTTCATCTGCTGCATGATCAATGAAGTCAATTCTCCGCCAACCTAAAATCAAAATAGCTACAAATATAAATTCTAATAATTGTTATTAATGTTGTTACATTGTCGAAGTAGCAATCGATGCCATTCGGTGCCAACTCCTTCAGTTTTACGCTGAAATTGGTTACTGTCTTGTAGTTGATGTAATCGTCGAATCCAATGCTTTTTAACCATTCACCCTTTTCGTCGGTTCCGGAAATTCCGATTACCCTGCATCCTTTGATTTTAGCAATCTGACCGACGTGACTACCGACTGCACCGGCAGCTCCGGTTATTACAACGGTTTCACCTGCCATTGGCTTGCAGACGTCCAAGAACCCAAACAAAGCAGTGTTTCTAAATGGTTAAAAAAATCGTTAAATTTACGATTATTCTTTGAATTATTATTACCCAGTCATCCCCAGGATACCCAAATATAAAGATATTGGATGATGTATCAAATCTGGTACGATGTACGGCGTTTGTTCGAGCGAACTTTTCTTCTTATTGTTTGGACCCCAAATCGTATGCGACCTCCAACCAAAGCTACCCAAAACATAGCTTCCAACTGGATATTGCAAATTCTTTGAATCTATAACTCTGATTTGATAATTTAGAGACGCGTTAAACTTTCAACAAATATCAATTGTTTTTTACTTGGCAACTTGTGAACCGATCATTGTGATTCCGACGGGAAGCATAGAAGCGTAGGCTCGCATGTACGGATCGATGCTAAGGAAAACTGCCTCGCATAGGAATTCTGCAAAAATAAAGTTTCAAAAATAGTCCCACATTTCTATATATATATGCAATACCTTCATCTTTGATTTCCGGTAATTCTTCTTCAATTAGATCAAAATTGCTTGCTTGTGGCATATCCTTAAAATGCTTGGCATAGATGAACGATTTGGCTTTGACCATTTTGGATGAATTTCTGTAACTTAATTTGTAGAATTTACAATTTGTAAAGGTTATGTGAGTGAATAAACAAAATTCGTGATCTTTAGACAACCAGTTGCATAGTTATGTATATATTATGTAACAATCGTGCTATTTTTTTGATCTATTTTTGATAATTATAACAAAATATAACAACATTTAATATAATAATTAGCAATGAGTGAAATATAAAATGTTTTTACCTCTTCGAATGTATACTTCGACTCTCTTTGTATTTGTGTTCGAACAAAATGAAATCCTAATCATGAAACTTTCTACTTTCGTGACGTATCTTAACGATAAGCCTCGTAAAAAGATTTTTGAGTGGTTTCATAATATTTTTGTAATTATTTATCGTTATTAATGCCAGAATTTTATAATAAAAAATAAAAGGTATTTGCTCACTCAATACTTACCATATGATTGAAAATTGACGTTGAAAATGTTTTATGTAACCTCTCAAGATGATCATCGTATCACTAATAATACTAGGTTTTTTTTTGCGATAGAAAATTTATAGTATCAAATATTTGTGTAACTTTTAAACAAAAATATTAATATTTCTCCTGTATTTCTAGCATCAAAGTAAAATGAATTAATTCCAAATCATCAGAGTTGCGTAACATTTATAAATAGCTGATATAGATACCAGATTTTCAACATAGCAATGAACATTTCCACACTACTTAACCAATAATAAGATGTAATCTGAATGTTTAGTTTTTGAGTAAATAACATACTTTTGTCTATTTTTACCTTGTTTTAGTCTGTTAGTTTTTTTTTCGTTGTTTACTGTAGCTCGATGTGAAGTACGAAGCGACGAAATTGAATTCCAAATAGAAACAGAATTATAATGATAAATGTAATAGCGACTAAACACAGGAACTTGCAACGTTTGCACCTTTTCATGGCAATAAATTACGCCTCGTCTATAAATCAATCAATCACATATTCTCGGCACATTTGCATTCAATGCACGCGAAACAATTGAACGCAATTCCTATTTACAATTATGACTTTACTAGAAAATACATCTTTTATACATAAGTACATATCTTTCGTATTTGATTATGTGAATTATAAAAGATATATAATAATGATATGGTTTTTTTTTCGGAAAATGTATACTAATTGATAATTTGTTATTTTAATGTTTATTTAATATTGGGTAATTATTCTACATTTTTGATCTGCAATGTAATATTGTAATGAATTATGGAAAGTTACATATTTTATTTTTAAATACAATTCATACTATTATATTTGAATAATGGTTTTCCCAATATTTTCCCCTTTGAATAATCCAATAAAGGCATTAGGCATACTCTCGAAGCCATTATAAATGGTTTCTCTAAATTGCAATTGACCATTATCGAGCCACTGCAAATTTTGCCGAATACCTTCAATCCATCGATCATTGAACCTCGACACTAAAAACGCTTCCAATTTCAATTCTTTGTAAAGCATCAATGGCTGAACGAGAGTTGCTGCAAATATAAGGAGAACGTTGAGAATCCACTTATGAATTATTATTTGTTAGTTTTACCTTTGGGTAAATTTGTCGAATCAGTATTGTACGAGGAAATCGATCCGCAAACTACGACTCTACCATATTGAGCCATATTTTTCATGATAATGCTGCTAATCTCGCCACCAACCTATCCCATACAAAATCTCTTCTTTATTATGTTGTTTTAGATTATTATATATTACATACATTGTCAAAATAACAGTCGATTCCGTAAGGAGCCGCTTCTGCAAGTGCAGCATTTAAATTGTTCGTTTCATTGTAATTCAGTACGTGATCAAAACCTAAAGTTTTTAACCAATCTACTTTCTCTTTGCTACCCGTAATACCAATTACACGGCAACCCTTGATTTTGGCAATTTGTCCTACGTGACTACCAACCGCTCCTGCGGCTCCAGTAACAACGATTGTTTCTCCGGCCTTCGGTTGACAAATTTCTGTTAAACCGAAATAAGCCGTGTTCCTGAAGATGAAATTTGACTTAAAATTGAATGTAAATTAGTATTTGTTGTACTTTACCCCGTCAGTCCTAAAGATCCTAGATATAAACTTAAAGGATGATTTGGTAGTTCATCTAGAACGTAGGTGGGTCTACAGAAAGGTGATAGGTTTTCTGTTAGAGAATTTACGATTGTATAGGTTCTCCAACCAAAATCACCAATGACATGACAACCCACTGGAAATTGATCATTCAGAGATTCGATAACTCTAAAATTGTAATATTTGTGAATATGATCTAAGTAAATAATTTAATATAGGATTACTTTGCTACTTGCGTTCCAACTATCGTTGATCCTACACATGACGTAAAAAATCTCATGTAGGGATCTACGCTTAAATAAATGGCTTTGCACAGAAATTCTTAAAAAAAAATATGTTTAGCTACAAATTATTTAATAATTATTCAAATACATTACCTCCAAGTTCGATTTGTGGTAAATTTTCTTCTAATAACTGGAAGTCTTCTTCTCGTGGCATGCCCACGCTCGGTTTTTTCAATACGTAACGGAGTGTTTTTACCATTTTGGTGTTGTTTTACCTTCCACGGACGAATAGATAATAAACGAAACATGTCTCAAAGGCGATTAAGCGCCCTCAACTTTCTCCAAATTCCTTTTGTAATTATATTTTCATTTTCCAGATTCACAAGTTAATGTTAGAGGACTCCGTGAGGAACAGAGCGTACAGGAAAGCGATTTTCGATAACGTTGATTCGTTTAAAGGAAAAATAGTTTTGGACGTGGGCGCCGGCAGCGGAATATTATCTGTATTTTGTGCACAGGCAGGCGCCTCCAAGGTATACGCTGTAGAAGCTAGCGAGACATATAAAATAGCTGAAGAAATCGCAAAGGAAAATGGTTTTGAGCATGTGATCAAGGTGACCCTACGCTGTCTATTTTTATTAGAAATATATTTAATTGAGATGCTTTAGGTGATTCATGGCCGTGTTGAGGATGTCGAACTTGAAGAGAAAGTAGATGTAATCGTGTCCGAGTGGATGGGATTTTATCTGCTGCACGAGGGGATGCTGGATTCGGTGATTGTCGCCCGCGATAAGTTCTTAAGTGCTAACGGCTTGATGTTTCCCGATTCAGCAACTCTTTATGCAGCTCCGTGCAGGTATATAACAAAAGACTAGATGCGAATGAAAGATATTGAACTCTGCGAATTTCAGCGTGCCGAACATGTTCGAAGATTGGGAAGATGTAGAGGGGATTTCGATGAAGAGCTTCGCTCAGAAGCTGAGGCATCAGGCGAGCCAGAAACCGGTGACGGCTATCATCAAATCGGATCATATTTTGGCAATACCGGAAGCGTTCTGCTGGTTCGATCTGAAGGAGGTTAAGGTTAGCGATCTTGATACGATTACTGTGAAGCATATTTTCGTGTCGACGAAGGCAGCTAGATACCAGGGAATTTCGATCTGGTTCACGTGCACGTTCCCATCATCCGTCACCGAGCCAGTTATCTTGTCCACTGATCCCGATGACGAGCCAACTCATTGGAAGCAAACGACTATTGTTTTACCGGAAGAAGTAGCGGTGGAAGAAGGTGAACCTGTAGCTGTTGAAGTCAATCTGAAGAGGACCACGGAGAGCGAGAGAAGATACAATATTGAAGTGACGATGCTCGATCCCAATGAGATCGATCATCCAGAATACTGTTCCTGTTACATGACCAAATGCATCTTGGCGAAAGCTGTACTAAAGAAATACGAGAACAACGAGTTCGATAACTAATTCATGTTTTAATTCACATTCGCCTCTTTCCCTTGTTTAATCTTTGTTTTTGCTTCATCTTCAAGTGTGATTAATTTTGTGACCGGTAGCCCTGTTTACATAAGCTCGAAGTTTTTGTGTAAACAGCTATTGTGGCCTCGCGGTGTTTGCGCATGTGATTAGTGAAGAGCACTTAATATGGTAGTAGTCTTTAAGGCCCTCAGGTAAATATTTGCTTTGTGCTGTGGCACGTACGACGCGACGAATCTAAATTGCGTTCGCGCACAGTATCTTCACGTTCTCGCATACTTTCAGGTTTCCTTTTTGTGTTTCTCCGCATTGTGCTTAACGCATTCTAAAGTCTAGTTTTATCTAAAATACGGTGCAACCCTGATTTTTATTTTCTCTCCTTCTTGAAGTGCGGCGCGCATCGGTCCAGGGTCGGGGAAATTACTGGCCCTGCCTCGGGCGTACAACCACCTGTCTCGATGATGTCTTCATTTTCTTTACAACTGAAACGAGTTTCGTTCGGAATCGATGCTCGTGTGTACAAGCTCGTGTGTGCGAGAGAGAAGGACGGTTGCTACATCTTTTCAAACGCTCAATAGAACACCTTTTGAATAGAACACGCATTGGAATAGAGTCAAAAGAAGAAGAAAAAGAAAGGTTAAACCTACCCTATTACACACACAAAAAATATAAATACAAATGTACCCAAGGTGTATACAATTGTGAATATGTGTCATTACCCTCCTTTAGCAATACATGGTTTGTACGTTTTTCATCCAACCAGACCACCATTTATGACGAAATTCTTTTGTTCAGTTTTGTATAGTTAAATACGCTTTCTGATTTTCAAGATCCATAGAATTATTTACAATAAAATTATTTAAATATAAAAGAATGCACTATAAACTTTACTTCATATTAAATTGGTATCGATGTTCGTGTGAACGAAACTAAAGCACGTCGTCCTTGGGAGCCTTTTTAAATCTACCTAAGAAAAACAATCTTGTGTGCGAGCGAGCGTGTGAAGACGATTGTGATTGTGATCGGTTAGAATGAGATATATACGGAGAGCAAGGAAGACGTGAGGCATAAGGCAATATAGAAAGAAGAAAGGAACGGAGCATAAAAAATGGGCATCGACTGGAAGAATTGTTACCGTCACGGAGCCTCAACTAATCCTTATTCGTTCACACCTCTCACCAGAGCATCCGGTTTTATCCACTGAGCCAAGAAATACTAAAATTGTACTACAATTCCTCGTAAAAATACTGACATAGGATGCTGAATCAGAATTGGACTATTAAATATACACTTTTGATTCATAATTTGTTATAAAGATGTATCCACTAATCGTATTACTAAAAAAGATTCGAGAGATTGTCAAAAATTTAAACAAATCTGTTTTACTGAATCTAAAGTTTGCACATAGATATATATATATAATGGCTTTTGATCGTCGTCTTTGCGTCCTAACTAGTTGTATTTATCGATTTTTAGCGATAATTTATTTTTTATACAAAACAATTACATATGCACAAATAGCGAACACTTCCTACGTTTACAATAACAATTTCATAGAATAAAGTTGAACAAGAGTGTTTAAATTGAGTCATTTGATATTTCAAACAAACATAGAGTAGATCCATGATGTAACCAAGATCTGGCAGGAAATCTAAATTAAAAAGAAGTATTATAATTGGAATTGTTTGAGGAAATCAGTTGGAATGATCTTAATAGGGCGGAACGCCTGTTCCTCGAGTTCGGAGTCTTCTGGTATCTCACTCTCTCATTCTCCTGCTCTTTTACTATGTCTCGTTCCAATTCGTAGTGGCAGTGCTGACTGGTATTAAGTTATTAAAAATCTCGGAGTCACGAGCGCAAGCCAACGAGTATTGAGATAATTTCCAACCTGGCTATTTTCTCTTTCCTTCTTTATTATTCATCCCACCGCATCATCTCTCTCTCTCTCTCTTTCTTACTCCTTCACTGCAGAAATCCTTTTTCCGATGTGTATCGTCTCGCGTTTCCAAAGAGGGTAACAAATCGTAGATCATTAAGGCGCACAAAGCCACGTGTAAATCAACACCACTCGAGAGCCAAGCCCCTCAGCTCGCGTGATTTAGTAATGCAAATTAGAGCGAAAATCTGCACAATCGCCGTTTCGACTTTCGTGTATGAATAATAAAATCGCAAAGTGTACGTAGGCAGTTCGAGCGAGCTGCATGCATGCATTTCACAATGATGCAACAGGAAGAAAAACGAAACATACAATTCAATAGTAATTTATCTCTTCTTAGAAACTACTCGAGTCGCTAACGAGCTTACCGATTTGCACTAATTAAAAATCAAATTTAATCACTATTTGTTGTTATTTTAAACACACACATAAATATTTATATGTACATAGACAATATATCAGTTATTGCATATTTTACAACATTTAATATTTTATTATATTCTAAAGTAATATACGTTTACTTTGTTATGTTTCCTTTGAGATTTAATTATTTAAGGTAACTTTGTTCTCATTTATAGAAAACAGTTATCATTTCAGTTAGTAATCGTTTTAGACAGGAAACATAACGTCTGGTAGTTAATGAATACTGTAATAAATCTATGAAAATGTCAGTTCTTTTAAAAGCTTTTTATTCCGGTCTCGATGACGCTTAATTACTTCCTGAAATTCATTGCTATAGTAACATCAATTTATAATTAATACAATTTTCAATTATTATCTTTTGTAATGTAACGTATAAGAAATGAAGCGAACCAAAACACATGTTTTTGTATTTTCGTAATTGTGTTTAAATATAGTATTTTTTTTTTGGACAAACACTCCCAAGTAATCTTGATACATAATATTGGAGCCGAAGCTTATGAAAGACTCGGGTCTTATTAAAGGCGAGCCTTTATTTCACATATAGTACCAATTATTGTCTTAAAACTGGAATTATTTAATGCTATTATGAACGCTCCGCAGCATCCTATCCACATAAATTCACACCCTAAACCCACAATTTATTTCTTTAATAAGCTAACATTATTTAAATGTCTCATCATTTTTCTTCTCGCGCAGCGACAGTACACAATGAACCTTCATTAATATTAAAACGGCGTCTTACATAGTGATGGCTTAAGAGATAAAGTCAATAATAAGTATTGTCTTTAAATTATAATGTTACAAAATACACATTGAAGTACCAACATTTTGGTTGGTAAGTAAAATTTTATTTATTAGGTTTTTCTTACTATAGACAAAACATTAATTGGAGACATAATTGTTAATAAATCTATGAATATGAATATCTATCAATATTGCAGTTGAGACTGGACGCATTTTTTTAATCATTTCTATAAAAAAAATGCTATGAAATATTATTTGTTGCCTTCATTATATTCAGAAAAAATATTTGTATTGGTGCCTTGATTAATAGTATGAAAACAGTCTAATAAATACATTTACTATTACTAATTATTTATTCATAAAAATATTGAATTTAAGTAAGTATAGGTAAGTGATAGCGTAATGATATTGAACAGATGCAACATTCTTTATGAATCTAACATATTCTTTCATCTCCTCAAATCAGTCAGCACTTGGTTATACGGTCTTGTCCGGTCTCATTTTATTTTTCAGTGAGCAATCACCGTTCATTAACGACTCGGACTGATGATGCCTTCATTAAAGCCGATTCGTCTTAGAGCGTGGAGAAAGATTCCGCGTTTCGGAAATTGATTTTGCACGGAATGGAAGACCTTCTTTATGTTGTGTCTCTCTTTCCTTCTTGCTTGTATGTCTTCATTAGGCCCAGTCGAATTTTGTCGCTCCGCGACGGTGGCGGCCGAAGATCAAAGGCGAGCCCCGGCGACTGGTTTTCCTCTCATCGTCGGCCGAACTAATCAACAGTTTACTTTATTATTTATTGATCCGGCCACTGATTCTCGCAGTCCCGCAGGCTCATCCCCGATTCTCTTATGCAATTTCCTCCTGAATTACAGCCGTTTGTCACAATTTGTACTTATTAATTAATCTCTCATTCCTTGATTATAAACAACGCAAAATAAACTGTATATACATATTTATTTATATATTTCACTATGTACATTTTTTTTATTATAGATTAATAACAAGTATATATTAATAACTATATAGAGTATATAGAGCTACAGCTACTTGAATATTTCTATTGTTTCAACATCTAGCTAACTCGGCGTAAATCATGTACAGCTCAGATCCATTCAGATTGCATTGAATTCAACAGTAGCATACAGTAGCTGTATACATGACCTTGGCTTCAAGGAGCTTCCGTTCCCTTCAAAACCTCTTGTAACATAATATGTTTGACACACTGATTCACTTCATTACACTTAAAATAAACACTTTTAAAAATTAAATATTATAAGATTACATTATTTATTGCAATGCTTATTACAAGATTTAATATAAATATCGTGGATTGCGTAGATCCATTCCATCGCCTACCTTCCTACGTTTTCTTTCAATAAAATATTTTATTTTTGTTAATATTAAAAGTGATCGTCGCCAGTAAAAACGAGAAACAAAGGTAACGCTAGTTTCGTAATCCCACATGCTTCTTCCTCGACTTACCTAAGCGCTCGTGCAGTTCCATCACCATATGGTTCATAAGCACCCACACAATATATCTCTGAAAGTGTGTGTGTGTGTGTTATGACTTTATGTGCGGATATAAAATCAGTTAATTTAGAGGATGGACATCTTCGGTAGCATGTGTATTTTTTTATGGAGAAATTTGTAGTAATTACAATGATGAGAGGAGCAGGCTAGTCTATTATCATTTTGTTTTTTTTTTGGGTAGGGTTAGGCCACGGAAAGATTGATGGCAATGGAGAGCAATAAATATCGAATTTCGAAGCCCGGAGGCCATAGGAAGACACATGTCGTCGTTGACGTTTCGGAATAACGAATTGCACCAGAAATCCAATCTCCGAATCGTGTCGTCGGGCAACAGAAAAAATGGTTACAAATGGAACACACTTTGATGTATTGTATCATTAACTTTTAAGGAGGGATTTTATTAATTAATCTTCATTTAAGATTTAATTTCTAATGTTATTATTATTTTAATAAAAAAAATATTACACACATCAAAGCATTTGCTATGGTTTATCATTGGTTACCAGATATATTCTTAGTTTAACGACTACAATAATTTATTAACAATTTATGTATAAAATGTCGGAAAATGAGGAAAGACATAACCAGAATATAGTATTGTTATATTTTATTTTCGGCCGTTTTTAACTTGACATCCATTCAGAAATACTTCTAAAAATAACAATGTAAACATTTATTACATAATTAATTAAATAAGCATAGATCAGATTTGTTTTCATGTTTTTGAAGTTAAGTATTATATATTTTAAATGATTGATTAGAAAAGGGGTTTCTGAATTATATACTTTGTTGTTTCACTATTTCCAAATGTTGTATGAGAAGTGTTTTAGTTTTCAGTCATTATTCTTGACTAAGTTTTGAGCCATGCGCAAAGGCAATTGTGAATGTTATTTTTACACATGCATACACATACGCATTCAGCAAGGTCTACGTTACGTTACTCAAGGTAACCATGTGATGGTACCACCAGCTGATCGCCGGGTACCATCGGGGCACCACTTGGTTGATGGTGGTAGGATGGTGGTGGTGGTCCCATTGAGTAGTGATCTGATATCCTTCGCGAAATGTTCGTTCTTTCGGTTGATGGTGAGTGAGAGGTCGAAAGAGGAGGCTGCGGAGACCATGGCGCTGGGGCGGAGGGCGCCCCCCGCAACCGATGCCACGGGGGCCACACTGGGTGGTCCTCGGTGTGGCCGCCGTCGTGTGTGGCACACGGGCCCCCCTCGTTCCTCCAGTTCCTCACCGACACACTACACACACACACATACACAGCATTCATCCGTCCCTTTCGCTCCAACTATTTTGGTCCTCGTTCTTTTTACCATATCGGCCCTCGCAGCTTGCGTCTCCCATTTGGTGCTCGAGCACCAAAATAAAAACATTGGATTTGAGGTACGAAACGTAAAAAAGAAACAATCATGGAGAACACCACGAGAAAATGACGAATTTTTACCATCGGACAAGCGTTATGTCACCTCGTCCATTTGATGACCGTAACTTTATTGGTCCATCTGCTTGGCCATCCTCCTCCGCCTCATCTTTATTCTCTTATAAACCCACATGCTCTATAGAAACGGTCCCGACCATTATTAGAACCCATTTACCGAAGGGAAAGGTCATTACGTTACGCCGTAACTGTAAAACGTTGAAAGGTTGTTTTCGAAGTTATTGCGAAGCTAATGCACTTTTAATTGGGCCACCTTTAACAGAACAATTACCACAGAATGCTGAGGAGGGAATAAATTCCATAAAAAAGTACACTTCTTTTTAATACAATTAGTTTGAAAGTTTTCATATACCTTTCACAATCCAAAAAAAGAAAATCAGCCATATGATTGCAATCAATTCATAGTTTTCTTATTAGAAACATAGTTAGACAATAAAATAAATGTTTCATTATAACAATGACAGACGAGTTGAATTGCTTGCAAATGGCAACTCGTTTGGTTGTGCTTACATTCAAATTTTCAAAGATTGAAGAAAATAATGTGAGATTTAAAAACAATATGTTTATTGACTCAAAAATAATGATTTCTTGTATCGTGAAACAGCAATACTTCTCAAACGCAGCACCATTAGAAAGTCTCTGATTTTAAAATGAGTAATTGCTTTTATTTAAGTTAACTGTAAACGGTCGTTCCAATCCAGTTTCTTTTCGATCTATGCTGCGTTTGCTTTGGCCTCTGTGAATCATCCATCATTATTTATCACTTCACTACACGCTTCTTTCGCAATGTGTTTATAAAACTCGTATTATTACATTATGATTTTTTTGTTCCTTTCCTTTTTCGTTTCCTTCGGCTCCCTTCCGACTCCACCTTTAACTTTCCATGCACACCTTAATTGGACCGAGGACCACCGGCGAGGAGAAAGATTTACATTAGACCAACAAACACTTTTCTTTCAAAATTTATATTTATATAGTTTTTATTTTCATAATTTATTCATTTACTCCATATTTACAATTAGAGAAACATCGTACAATTTTTTTTTAATATATATAATTTATAAATAATTAATTAAATCGAGCAAACACTCTGTACAATATATATAAAATAACAAATTTTAAATCCTTCTTCGATTTGATGTGTCTTGTAGGGAAAGTTAATCTTACGTTTCCTTCAGTCTTTGTGTAGGAACTCTTTCTATTGGTTGAGAAGGGTGGGAGTTGGGGGAAGTGTATAGATGCGTGAACTTGAATAACTTAAAGCGATTCTGAATGTACAGCACAAAGCGCCCTCTTTGGTTTCCAAATAATATTTACAAATGTACACTAGTTTTTTTTTCCTGCTATAGGAACTTAGGTTTTAGAGACCAGCTTCGCGCAAAAAAATATGAGAGAACAATACTGATTGTGGAAGAGGTAGCTTAAGTTATCTCTATTAAAGCTTCCACGAGATCGATCACCTCGTTGTTGTAATCAAAAGAATTAATATCAGGCACAGATACGGGGTAGGGCTGGAAGCCTTCGAGATGTTAGGTTGAAGTTCCCGTATCAGATTGGTTTCTGTGTCACCAATAGGGATGATCGCTTCCGGTATTTTCTTGTGGAAGCACAGTTTTGCCATATTGTTCTGTATCAGGGGACAATTGTAGTCTTCCCTTCCGTCGCACTTGCAGGTTTTAAGTTTCGCAGCCTTTTCCTGTCGCCTCAAGATTGAAATGGAATTCATGCACCTCCTGCTACACTTCTTCCCATGGAACATCGATCTGCAGTACTTGTTGTAGTAGGACAGAGCGGTGGAACAGGAAGAATCCGCTGCGCATATCCATTGAGCAACGGTGCACGAGACGACGGTTTCGTTCCTGTTTGCCATCATCACCGAGGGTCGACAAATCTCCACGCGTCTCTTCGTCTCCTCGCACAGCTCATCGTTGCACTGGCACTAATCAAATCGAATTCAGCAAAATTAATGTTTCATTCATATAGCAGGATCAAAGCTACCGCTAGTTACCTGCATGAGCTCCTTGCCTTCTTCAGTGGACGTTAAAGCTATTAGCGAATGCTGACACACTTCTGGACAATGGTCGGCAGGGCCGTTCAACACCGAAGAACAACCGCCTATGTAGTTGGTGAGGGCCATTCCGCAACCGTCACGGAACAAGCACTTTAGGCGAGCTTCTTCGCACGAAAGAGGCATCCGTACCTCCGCGGCAACTCCCACGATCGCAGTCACCGACATCATCACCCACCACATCCCTAAAACAGAAACCTAAATTAAACATCAAGAAATTCATTGAAGCTTGAAATCCTCTCACGTGTGATAAGAATATTAATATACACGCGACAAAATCGAATAAGCATAATACATTCCATTACAGTAGTTAATTATGCAACACCTAAATGGCACTCTACGTGCACGACATCGGACAAAAGCGAACGGATCATCGAACATTTGAATAAAAATCCAATAGAAAATTAATAGATTCTAAAGCAATCAATTAAAGTTGCAAGCAAAGGCATTTAAGTCGCATTACCGTCCCAATCGCAATGTAAATATAATTAAAAAAAGAACATCAGCACTTAGAAAGTCGTTCCCGCATTTCTTCTTCAGCAACGACCTTCAAAATTGTCCAATTATATTTCTACTGTTATCTTATCAAAATAATCGTACTAATCGAACGGAAAACAAATCAAATCACAATATATTTTAGATTACGCAAAATTGTTAAACTAGTTCAGATTAAACACAAATTTCATAACCTGATAGTATTACTTCTATTTTCTCTTTTTTTCCTGCAGTTGCATGCCAATGTTTGCGTTTCATTTCAACGGATTATTGGCACTCATAACTTTAACATCTCTCAGTTCGCTTCGTTAAATCCAATTCGTTTCGTATTTATTAATCGTCAATTGAACAGATTTACAGACGCAATAAATGTATGCAAATGAACAAGTTAAATGTTCATAAATTATCAGTTAGTCGCGTTTTTCCCTCAATGAAATATGCTGATTTTGTTTAATATTAATAAACAAAATTAATAACGATATTCACATGGAAATTATATTGTTAATACTAAATAACGAAACAAAAAGGTAGTTAGTATTTAGTGTACGTGGCTGTTATTAAATTACATACCTAATATTGTATGCTTCAATAAAAAAATATGTTGTAGTCTTGGGACGAAAAAGTAAACTAATCGTTTATTGCATTGTGCTCTCGCAGGAAATTGGCGATCGCTTCGTGGCTACGTGAATTCTGGCACATAGTACACATAGCAAACAAACGCTCATGACGTTTTTTTTTTACTTTTAAGTCGTATCGAATGTGTACGCAATATTATTTACATGTAACTAACGTAAAACAATAAACACAAGAGCAATAATTTTCTCGAAGAAATAATAGACATGTGATAAATTTAAAGATTGACATGACGTTAATTCATTATGCGTCCTTCTTAAAATACAGCAGGTAATTTACATATCTCGGATGTCCAATCAATGGAGGCGGGGGTTTTAAGGTAAAAAAAATGTTGATTCATGATTAAGTCATTAAGGACCGGTATTTTCATCACTGGCTCAATCAGTGTAGAGAAAATTTGCAATATAACTGTTTCCAATTGCATCTTGTACTTTTTTTTGATAAACTATAATTATGTAGATAAAAAAATGTTATTATAAATTTATTGTTATTTTAAATTTCCTAACTATAGTTAATAATTACATCTTTCAATTTAGGTATACATAAATGTATATATAATTATCTTTTAAAGAAACGATCCATTTTTTCGTAAGTACTGTATTTTGTGTGTGTTCCTTTAAGCATGTTTCACATCAATCAATGTTGTTTTCTGTGTAATTTGAAACTCTCCAGAATATATGGAATTTTCTTAGGAAATGCTGTTCCTTTCGACCAAAACGCCTTGTTAAAGATCATTAAAGGCCATATGGGCTTTCGAGAATTGGACCACACTTTAATTAGTTTTGGGTCTACTACAAAAGCACAACCCAATATTAACGTACGAAACTCGAATATTGACAATTTTAAAAGCAAATATAAACTACAAAGTTACAAATAATAAAAATATATTTCTAAACTTCTCGAATTACCATTAAAATAAATGGTAAAATCGTGATTTTTCGTGATGATAAGTCTCGTTTCCATTTATGTAAAGTTGCAATTTATAAGTTATAAATTATACGAAATACCTATATTCTATATTACGTAAATTATACATACTACTAAATGTAAGATTGTTTATGTTACTTTTGAATAGAAACAATTATTTTGTTCATAAGTGTATTATTATTTTTTTTCTGTTTATTGATTTTTAATAGGCTATATGGTAATGGACTGGCCGTGTTTGAGTTAAGAAATCTGGTCTCAATTAAATTTTCGCCGAGCTTTGATCTTCGACGTGGAAATAAAATCCATTTTCTTCCGTGCAGAACACGCATAACATTTCGATTTAATTACACGGTTGAATTGAAAGACATCTAGCAATTAAATTAATTGAAGCAAATTCCCGGATTATCTCGTTTGTAACTAATTGCTCTTTCGATGAGTCTGTGCTATAGTAAAGCGACGTATTTCAAATTGGAGGATATTTCCTAGATTGAACGTTATCTCTTCGCGTGCGGGGTCATTGGCTGCGGCTTGATGGTAATTGCTTAATGAGTGCACAAGTTCGGCCAGTATCATTACATTACGAGCAGTCGACTCGTTTATTTGTTTGTTCCTTCTCGGCGAAAGCCTTTTATTTCGATACATTGGTTTCTTGGGAATCTGTCAGAGTGATTGAACAGTTTTCGTGTCTACCTGAAAGAGTAGAAACGAAACAACAATGCGCGCGGAGAGCGCGGAGCAGGAGGGTACATCAGCTCCGGCACATCTGCCATTCGGCGCTCCGGAGGATAAGAGAACGAAAAATGCATTTTAATGATTTGAGGAAGATGAAGAAGTGAAGGAATAAGAGAAGGACCGTCTAAAAATATATCACGTGCACACATAATCTACTTTTAGGACGCGCTTATATTTAGACAAACCGTGAAAGAAACTTTAATTTCGCTTACCGTAATTCGTATTCAAGCGACCGGTGAAAAGTTATTGTTTAAAGATCCCAAAGAAACGAAAGCACATGCTACAGTTAAGGGGTACTGCTGTAGTTGAAAAAAAATGCACTGCGATGTAAAATAGAAACAACTATGCACACCATAAACTCGCGAATAACGTGCTTCTTCTTCTTGTGTATATTGTCTTCTTTCGTGTTTTGTATACTTGGTGATGCACTCTGCGCGACGACGGACGCGGCAATGAGAGACCGGCCAGGGATTAAGTTGTGTTGGGAAAGAGTCTGACAGGCCACGGACAGGTTCTCCTTCTTTCTAAAACCTAAACGCGAGGTCTCCTCGTCTTTTATCCTCTTTCGCCTCTTTCTCACTCCTGCGCTCGGACCATCAAAGAAGGAAAGGAACGGTTCCAACCATTATTATGATTATTACCTGTCGTCCTCTCACTCTTCCTCATCCTTTCTTCTCCGCCTTCCAATTATCCTTGCACACACGTGCAACCAAACACAAATCCCGCGCAAATTACACTTAATCCTTTTTTACAACAAAGCAATACTTTTAACTAATCTACACAACATATTTTTACTAAAATAAATACTTATCAAATAAGAACTTGTTGTTTTTCAGGATAATATATGTTATTTAGATTTTTAAACAAATTTATGAACTTTTTCATTCGTTCTATTTAATGATTGATCACAAATTACAATAAAAACACAATAATTTATAAAATAAATTGTAATAATAATTAATTGGTCAAAATAAGCAAAAACAAAAATTAAATCTATAATGCAAATAAAACAAAAGAAAATAAATATTTATATACAAATTAAGAGAAAAGAAGATATATCTGGCCAACGGGCTATTAATAATTACAGTAAATTATCATTTAACTTTCTTTTATATTTACAATTTATTATTAAAAAACAAAATAGGTTCTCAAAGTTATCAAGTGAGAATATTATTTACACTAATCTGATGACTCGTTTTATAGTATTAAGTTAAAAGTTTTGTACGTGATGTTCTTTCAAGTTTCTAAAGATATTATACATAATGTCTATTGAAGTTATTTAACAATTTATAATTATCAACTAAAAAATAACAGAAAATCAACAGTCAATGTTATGTTGTATAAAAGTGCAAATTTAAAAGTGAAACTCATTTTATATATATTTATTTATAATAGTGAAATTCAATTAAAAAACTGCTACTTTGCGATCAACTTTTCATATTTTATTATAATTATTTATAGATATTAACAATGACTACGACTATTTATTTTTCGCAGATAAATGTGAAATTTGAAGCGAGAGAGTATTCTGAAAAGATATTGATTTACAGCGTCTGTAAAGGTAAATGTTTTGTTCGTCAGATGCCCGAGCCGCGTTTTCTTTCTTCTCGTTTCAGTTACGCTTTTTCAGCAACAATTGCCGAGAAGATTGGCTCCGGACAAATGCAGACGTCGCACAGAAAATGAGAAATTTTATGTGTGATAATGTTTTTACGGCAGGTGATGTGATGTTGTTTCCCGAAAGAGAATTTTCGAAATGCAATTTCACTAAATGGTCAGTAATGGCCGGGGACCTTTTACGGCCGATTTAATTGAGGAGCCGCAGCGCACAACAATGTAATCGAAATTTGCATGCATAATGACAACAAGAAAATTAGCAATTGTTCCGCGAAGCGAGCGGATACCGAATGATGTAGATGGCGATGGAGAAGGAAGGAGTGTTTGAGGAGGACTTTTTGAAGCGCCGAAGGATTTCGACACGTTGATCATTTGTCTGGGAGCGAGTGAAGACGGCCGATGTGAGATGGAGAGAACGAGAGTGAGAGATGTATAGCATCAGCATGGATGTGATATTGATGTGTCCAGATTGCTGGAGATGTTGGTTGTTGGTTAGGGGCTGCGGGACGTCTCGGAACGCCCATAAAATCTGACAGATACGTCTTTATTGTGAAGACTGGTTTTCGAGAAATCCCGTGTCGCCGCCGCCGCCACCACCTCCATCTCCGCAACAACACCACTTCTGCCCCCCTTCGCATCTACGTACTTTTTACCTCATCAAGAACGATTTGGGGTCCCTCGTTCAGTGTTTCGGACAATTTTACAATCGAAGGCCCGTCCCAAAAACCGCAGGAACGAGAACACGCCAATAAATCAGACCGGCGCGCTGCAGAGAGGCCTCGTCAGGCTCTTCTCTACCCCTCTCCACAATCTGTCCTGAAGAGGAGATACGACAATAAGATTTTAACAAGCACTCTCCTAACGAGACCATCAATTAACACTTCAAAAATACCTTTTATTTTCAATATTTATCAGTTAAATAAATTGTTGTAGCCATGTCGACTTAATCAAACCAAAAAATTATGCAAGCAGACGTCGAACAAAAAGCGCAAAGGAAATGGTACATGGACAACCCGTCATGACTGTAAATTACTTTGGAGTTTACTTGGAAATTCTTCAAAATATTCGGGTTACTCCCGGACTGCAACTGAATTCATAAGTGAAGATGAAAGATAAGTTAACTGGCGAGCTTTCAAATTATTTTCAACAAAATCCTTTCAAAAATAACATATGTATTGTTTTGTTAATTAATTATTAAAAATACAACTACTGAGAGGCATTACTCATTGAAATAAAATTACAGTCACCGTTATTTTTAGGAAAGTAAACCAAAATTAAAATAAATTGTAAAAATTAATTATATTCCTATTAATTTATTAACAATTTTTTTTAAGTATTCAATAGCATTATATAATCTATGAACTACACTTTAAATAATTTCATTACAAACTATCAAGTTGTTTAGATCCTTGCATTTTAGTAAGATTTCATCTTTGCATAGTAAGATATGTAAAAGTTAAATTTAGTTTAGAAATTAGTGACGATAATATTAAAAATTTAAATCTATATATCATTGAATGTAATATTAATAAATTAAAATATTTATCCTGTGAGCAAAGTCTTTCTTTATATTTATTGTATTTATTATTGCAAATGTATTTTCATCTAAATATATTGTTATTTATATTGTTGTCACTTAAAGTGGTCCTAAAATAAAGGGTTTTTAAACTTTTAATTTGTTCATATAATTTATGTTTAGTTTTGTATAATAAAAATGAATTTAATCTAATGTTTAGAATCTCGATACGTTTCTCGTGTTTCGATTTATAGCATCTGCCATCTGTTCATATACACGATTTATAATCGTACCTGTGTAAGACAGAGAGAGAGAGTAAAAACATTATTCAAACGTTTAAAAAGAAAGATGCCGCTTCTCTCACTAACACATTTATGCGATCTACAGATTTATTCATCTCTTCGTATTATCAAACTCGCCCCATCTGCCCTTTTGTCTCTATTGAAACACCTGCCTTCTATACAATTGCCATTTTATTGCTACGCAATGATTTTTCTCAAAGCAATAATATCTCAATTGAATTATAAAGTGTTGATGGTTTGATTATTTCAAGTAACTAAATACATTTCAATCTTTCCAATTCAATTTATTATTGAATAAACATCAAAATGTCTCCGTTACTATGTCATAAAATAATGTCCACTTTACGTTTGTGTTACGAAGGCGTCCGAATTAAAATTCCGAATAAAAAAAGTTTTACCTGTAATAATTCGGAGAGTACTAATTGGTTATTCGGTGTCAGGTCGTTAAGATAACTAATTGGGGTCTCCGAACGAGCGAGGAGTATGAAATGAGTTATATTCCTGTTCAGATGAACTATGAAATGCAATGACAGTTCCAAGTTTTTTCTTCTTGTTCTTCTGGTTCGTCCTCCTCTACCAGTACGATGATGGATTGCCTTTCATCCCATTGTGGCCCTGTTCTTTATTTGCGAAATGAAAGGAGCCATAGGCTCGGCTCATTGTCCGAGGGACCGACGGGATAATGAGTTTCGGGTTTCTCGTAATGACCATTGTGCTCTCGCCCTCCATCTCTTGACAGCTACTGGCGTCATCATACAACAATATAATTTAAGAAATTCTTGTATTCCAAATAACATCATTTGGAAAAGGAAACGCGGTGAAACAAACCTTGTAATTTGAGTTCATCCCATGGACCTTCCGAAAATTACTTAATAATTGCGAACAGAAACAGCTTAAGTAAACAAGATAATATCTGTTGAAATCTTTCGGAAATGAAGAACAAAATGATATTTATTCTTTGAGAAGTTCTCCCTTCGAAACTTTCGAAGATTAAGAGCTTAACGACAAACCAAAATAGTTAATATTTACAAATTCGAGGAGCCGTAATTTGTTTATTTTCTTAATCCTTTTTGTTGCGAGTTGGTTCTCTGGTCTTCTTTTTCTTTGAGCGATGTGCAACGTTGCATGACGTAAATTACACGGCGGCCAGTTTAAGCTTAAGCCAGAAAATTGGAGCCGATTGCTTCAGCTAGATCAAAGACACCGGCAGCGTTAATATAGTCATTAAAGTCTTAAGAAGTACAGCGGTTGGCCGCCCGAATTATGCTCACAAAACGACGTACCCCCTCTTCAAACCGTTTTCACAAACGAGAAGGACTAGTGGATAGATTCGATGTAGACCAACGACCATTATGTAACTGGTCTTCAACACCTCACGCGAAGAAAGGAAATTGAGGTAAACGCACAAAGGGCTCAACGTTGCAGAAATGCAGCTGTCACTTGCGTAGTAGGTCCATCCAAGTATTTCAAATAAATTTCAAATCCTCTTATCATCGTACCGATGATTCTTACTTACACCTATTTGCTTTGAATCTGGAAATGTTGCAGTGATACAATCTAAAGAGTATATAATTAACAAACTGGTTTCGATAAATCTTTGATAATTACATTAAAATTTCGTATTCGATTAATAAGAATAAAAAATTATTTATATTGATCGCTGACGGATGATCGGTAATTTGTTTTGCAAACGCAAATGCATCTCTGTAATCACTCATTGAAGCAAAACAAAAAACAAGAATTGGAATCCCATCTCCAATTTGTAATTATTACCACATAGCATTACCTCTCGTTCGCTCTGCACTCGTCTCTTTCTCGTTCGGTCTTCAATTTCGGTTCGTCGAAACTGATTTCTTTATCCTAAAGTTTTTTTTTTTATAACAATGTTCTCTTCTGTGGTCGAGCCGCATGCATCGGACCCGCCTCGCCGGCGGCCTCGAAATCATCTTAACAACTTAATTTCAGACTTCTTTTTATCATCATATTGTTTCTGATGGTGTACTTGGAAGAGGCAAGAACCTGTCGAAGAAGCGGAGCGGGAGGAGGCGAACCTAAGCGGAGCCCAACTGTGAAATAGAATGCACTGCGAGAGAAAGACTCCTTGTTGCTGTTGTTGTTTATTTCCAGTCCTGCCGCGGCTTATAAATAAGACATTATCTTGGCCGTAAGTGCTGTTTACAGCGAGACGTGAGGTGTTTCCGTTTTTTATTCTACTTCATTTAAATATGTGTATGTGTGTATATATATACGCACATGCACATATACACATAAGACGTGCATTATATGTGAAGGAGTGAGGGTACAGCTGTACCAAAAGGTCCAAATGCTCGTGATTCTGTCGCCTTTCTTCTCGGCCAACAACACCAAAACCAAAACCGAGCGCATGCTTTACCAGCCGTCCTTTAAAACTCCACGCCAATTACCGAAGACAATATTATCTCGATGCAATTAAAACCGACTAATTGCGTTCTTATCTTCGTATGAATCGGTACGATTCAATCATTAATTGGGACATACAATCATCTGCGAAACAATTAAAAACTAATATAAAAAAAAGAGGAATGTTTATTGCTCGGAAGTCCAAAGGATTCCGTATCCAGATGATGTCCAGGAATGCCGTTTTCATGGGGACTAATGACTTAATTACGAAACGAATCTTTCTTTATGTTCGTCCATTTTCGTTATACACTCTTATGTACAAATGCAGTTTGAAAGAAAGTCAACGTACTCAGTATCTCTGCCTTAATTAAGGTGTCAATGCTAATGGTCTTAGTTAATATTTATTTTTCTTTGTGGTCGCCCTTTTCCCACCTCGGTCCAGACATAATATTTGATGGGATATGAAGAGCATGCTCTCCTCGTTAACACATCTTCGAAACGAAAGCAACTGGCGATCTGGATTGTTCATTACATCTGTTTCCGCACGAAAGAAGCCAACGGGAAATGACTGTTACCAGTAAAGTAATTGAAAGTTAAATTTAACATCGTAAATTGACTGATGTTAAATTTACAGTGTTATTAACTAAAAAATAACTTATTTTAAGAGAATTGATAGAATTTAGTACGAAGTAAATTTAAAATTGCAATAAAATAACATTTCACAAAATGTCAATAAATTTATATTAACCAAATGAGAGAAAGGTGGGCAGAAAAACCTATGATCAATAGCATTTTGTAACAGTCAATATTTTTTAGCAAATAATAGAAACGGTAACATGTTTTTCCTTTCAATAGATCTATGTATAGCATATTTGTAAAAATCTGTAAAAAAAAAATGGTTAAGGAAGAAATAAATAGAGAGAGGTTGGGAGATTCTTCATTTATTATTGTCCAATTAAATTCATCCCGAATAAAAACCGAAGAAGTCATCGAACATCAATAAGTTATGATTATTAGGGTTTACTGCACACTCCATTATGAATTGCTAAAGTATGCATTACAACTACGCATCGAATCAATAATAACATTTGTACTATGTCATCGAGCATTACATAAACATTTAGCGAACTAACTCTTAATACTACATTTAAATGCTATACTGTTTCGTGATAATAAATACCCTGAAGGATTCCTATTTCTTTGGCGGCACCAGTTCAAACTTCCAGATGCGATTCGGTCCGATCTCGACGATGTAAAGGGCCGAATTGTTGGGACACGCCGCTATAGCGTGTGGATTACCGAAGCCCTGCGAACAATGAAAATGCAATACCGATGTAAACAATGATCAATTAATATTGAGTGGACCGAGAGCTGTGAATCTAAACGTCTCATTAAAACGACTCACGATTAGAATTACAAATACGTCGTTAAATAGCAAACCGAATGAAATGTGTTCGCCATAATGTCACTTTAATGTTTCCTTCAACATATACGCATTTGTACAAGGGTAAAGGACGAAACGTGCAACTCGTTAATCCTCGAAAATCAAGAGACCGGGCCGGGTCGTTCTTTCTGTATCACCATTCTTCGGATGCCCTTGTCAAAATTGTAATGTACCTCTTTTAGCGGAAACATAAAGTTATAAGGTCGTTAAGTGGATTTGTCTGATGGATATAAACATGTCTACTGTTTTTATTATTTTACCGACATTTGCTGCTTAAGGGAGCCGTAGATGGATTTAAATATAAGACACTTAAAAATCTTATTCTTTTTCATTAGCAAATATAATAGTTGTATATTACCAAGCAATTTCAATTTAGTTAACTTAGTATTCAATTATTACCATGGCAATTTGAGATGACTAAACTAATAAATATATGCTGTGATGATGTTAAAGTCTTTTATGTAACTTCCATGATTCAATTATACAAAGTTTGAGGCTAAGAAAATGAAAAATTGATATTGTTTTGATCAAAGCTCAAGAAGTCATTAAACAATATTATTTATACAATTAGTCGTGTGATTGTTGTCTTCGTATATTGTAATTTAATGTTTTTAATGATCTTTTTTTCTTTAATAATAATATGTAAAATATTTGAATTAATCAATAATTCTAATTATGTTAATACTTTTGAGATAGTTGTGTAACATTTTAAGAAACTATTGTTCAAAAAATTGCTATTCCTTTCGTACTTAAAATTGAACAATTAACACGCATCATGCGTGCTCATTTAAAATTTCAAACCGTTCATCGGAAGCAGAAGAACCAAATTGTGCATTGTTTTCGGGAAACATCCCCCCATACATTCCGAGACCGTTTGAATTTAAAAGTTGCTCTCTCTTAGTCTCGATCATAATTTATTACGACCGCATCACGTCGCATCTAATTTGCATCCCATAAATGAACCGACTACGAATTAGTTAACATTCCAAATGGATGAAATCGCCAATTTCCGGTACAGGCTGTACGTGACGCTTTTTTTCTTGAAGCGTCGCTTACCTCTTCAGGAGCCCAGTGATCGATAACGGATTCCGATTGAGGATCGATGGTCAGACCTTGCACTGTAAGCAATGGCGATGTTGGACCATTCACGGCATAAATGAGATTTCCTAAAGAAAAACAAAAAGAGTAACATCAATGAAACAAACATATGTGCAATTGCTTAAGTTGTTTGTAATGGATGAGGGTAGATGGCAGATGGCGCCATTTGATCATGACAACGCGCGTTTGCGTCATTGTTTTATTTTTTTTGTACTGCTTCTCATCGCTACGAACAAATCGCATTAATTGTGACAAATCAACTTTCACTTTGTATCTACCCAAGTAGTTATTGCATCGTCGAAAATACTTTACACATCAAATGTGCAACGAACATCATTAGGTGAGTATCAATTAATCAAATATATGTGTTATCTGTTAAGGTTTGTCTGCTATATTTTTCTTCAATTTATATAAACGCTTAAGTTTGTTTAGTAATCAAAATGAATATTCAAATAAGGTGCTATTTGAAGAAAGCTATAAAAACTAAATCTAATAACTTCTATTGCGGGCTACGGATTACTCATTAATAATTCTATATTAATTCCCAATGTTGATGTTCATAAGTAGGCAACTAAATGTACACAGAATCAGTATGAAACATTATGTACAAATACGACTATTTTAAGAATTATAGTATTTATGACAATATAATTATGTTTGATAGTTTATAAAAAATATAATAAGTAAATAACATAGATTGCATATCCTTTCATCTGTTAATAATTATGTATAAGGACCAAGAATATGTATAGCCTCCGTGGCGCAATTGGTTAGCGCGTTCGGCTGTTAACCGAAAGGTTGGTGGTTCGAGTCCACCCGGGGGCGCAAGTTTTTTTTACTTTTTATAATTTTTATCAATTTTTTTCGCACAAACACATGTAAACATACGAATATCATTTTTAAATATTACTGTAAATTTAAATGAAAAAGTTAAATTTATATCTAGTAATAGTTATACTGGCACAACTTGTTTTAAAATGGTAATAATATTATTAATAAGTACCTCTAGCAGCTACCCCAAAAACTCGTCCCATGTCAGGTTGTTGAATAGTCAAAGCTGGCTCACGTTTCCCTTGCACACTGTATAAACCTGCTCTAGGACAAGTAACCCTCATATTTTCCCTATCAGCCACGCAAAGTCTGTCCATTGATTCTATAAGAGCCAAGGCATGTGGTACTTGTAAAGACAAGAACTCTGCAACAAATTATTCAATATACTCTTTTTAATTTCAAACTCTTGTTTTGTATTACCTGGTGGATTAGGTATAACGCGCAAAAGTCCTCCTGCAGCATTATACTTTAAAATTCTGTTATTGCAATATCCATCGGCGATAAATATTTCACCGGTAGTCGCCACAGCAACGGCCGTAGGCTTGCATAGATGTTGAATTCCCGAGCCCGGTTGAAATTCTTGACCAAATGTTAAGCTCGGTTGAAGTTCGCCAGGGCGAAACTATCACAATAAAAAAGAAATAAATATCAATATTTACAATAATAAAATAAGTCTCCTTGATAACATTATCTTATCGAGTTTTCTGTTTTGCTTTTTTAATCATACGTACTTTGAAGGCCTGGTGGAGTGCCACATCTGTGACCCATAAGTTGTCGTGTCGATCGATGGTAAGGCCATGTGGCATGTAAAAGAAGTGTGAACCCCATTGGCCTAAGACTTTTCCAGTTTTCGGGTCCAAAGTAAGAACTGTATGTTCTTTGATTGGTCCCAAATGACTTTGTAAATAATGGTGCGTAGAATTGAAGGAACTAAACCAAGGTTTAAAATCGATTACTAACAGTTTCAAATCATTGTGTATTTTTAATTATATGTAATGTATTTATTGCTTTAAACAAATTGCAAAATTTTAATATGAATAATTTCAAATATGTCAAAACTCATATAGTATATGCCCGGCTAGCTCAGTCGGTAGAGCATGAGACTCTTAATCTCAGGGTCGTGGGTTCGAGCCCCACGTTGGGCGACATAACTTTTGTCAACAACGAAAAATTGACATTAGGGACTTGAGGAAGATTCTTCTTCTTCTTCTTCTTCTTTTATAAACCTCCACTCCCTCCACTTAGCTTGTGTCAAGCACAATTTCGCCAGCTACCGCCTTGAGGAAGATTAAAAATGTCAAAAATATGACATTACATAAGCCCGGCTAGCTCAGTCG